ATTTATTTATATTGTTAAAGAAAAATATTAAATTGCAGATTAAAAAATTTTTAATTAAATTTAAACAGTATATCATATAAATAAGATAATAAATATATTGAGATGCGCGAATAGTGAAGTTTAAAAATTTTTTTATACGTAAGAATGTTTAAAAAGGTAGAAAAAGACTAATAATATATAATTTACTCTAATAATATATGAACTCTTTAAGTACATTATACCGTAGCGACATTTTAGCGCGTAAGGTCGTCGTTCCCCGCAGAGCTATTCTCTTCCACGTATCACCGTGCTCGTTTTGCCCGTGGCGAACAGAACATAATGAGGGAAGCGAGAATAGTCCTTAGAAAATGAAGCAAGGAGAATCGCTTTAGGAAAAGATGCCTCTCGAGTGCCCGGAGAGATGACTGACGAACATCACTAATGAGAGAGCGCGTGTGCGTTCCGTATTTTCCTCCTTCCTGAATGCGAACCTTTGAAAATTCGGTTAATGACTCGAGCGAACAACAAGTCCCCGTCTCACTGTTTCGTCTTCCAAATTCCTTTAGTCATGAATCCCCCAGTACTTCCTTTTTTTTTTCTCCCTACAGAGACGCGCGAGAATTAGCCGTGCAAAACGCGAAGCAATCTTCTCCTCGAGTCACTTGAAGCGCGAAGTGGGAGGTATTTTCGTCGCGCGTATATATTTTCCTAAGAAAAATTGCCGAATATTCGGCGTCCCAGGTTTTTACGATGGCATAAAGCACGAGCGAGCTCTCTCCCGGCAATAGGTGGTGTCATTTAGAAATCATGGAGGCAAAAAGGAAGATTCGCTTTTAATGTGTCCCCCGCGGGATGAAAAAGATCCGTCGCGGCGAATCCCTTTTTAGAGCCGCCTCGGCGATTCCTCAAAGAACGAGGAGATGTTACCGTTTGGTGTACATCGTTCTCCGAATAATATTCTCTTTTCCCCTTTCGCCGCGTCCTGATCCACGAATGTTTGATCTCGCTGGAAATAGGAAACCAGCGAACGCGCTCGGTTTCTCTGTTTGACATTTGCTCGGGTTAGAGTTGCCTGTGGTCGGAATGTATTATTCACAGGATTGGGCAAGTTAATGTTTTTTTTTTTAACTAAATTAAGTTAAAGTTAATGGCTTATAAAGTTAATGACATTAAGTTAAAAGTTGAAGGAATAAAGAATTAACTTAATAAAAGTTAAGTTAAGATTGAATTAACTTAAGTTTTAAAAAAAATTAATTTTGAAAAAAATTATTTTTGATATCAGAATGTCCTAATTTTTTTAAAAATGAGATTACTTTAAATATACACTTACAAATATAGATTATTAGATAAATTTAATTTTATATTCACATGTATAGTTACTTATATATAAGAGTTACACCATAAGGCGTTTTTGTCAAAATCTTGTAAGAGAGAAGGATATATGTTTGCATTATTTCTCTTTCTTTAATCATTATCTAACTTTCTTAAACTTCTGAAATGACTGCTCATGCATGTTTACGACTGCATCGACTAGATATTTGTTACAAAAAAATATACGTAAAAATGTAGAAAATGGGTGGATGTGCAATACTGTTCGACAATAAGGCTTTTCATCTAAGATTCATTTCAAATTTATGTTGCTGAAATATAACATTTATAATACCTAAAATTCGTGTGATTCAAATATAAGCGGGAATTAACAAAACCTGTCGAGTCAATAAAAAAAATTAACTACCGTATGATGTAACTCTTATTATAGATCTCTTATCATAAAATCATTGAACTTTTTCTAAATTAATTCTCTAATGTTTAAGACTTCATAGAAAAGAAAATATTAGCATTAAGAGAGATAGAAAAATTTTTAATATTGAAAAAGAAAAATTTTTAATTTAAAAAAAGTTGATCAATTAAAGTTTAAAAGTAACTAAATTAAGTTAAAAATTAATGCATTTAAAATTAACTAAGTTGAGTTAAAAGTTATTAACTTTTTAACTTTTTTTTTTAACATTTTAACTAGTTACTACCCAACCCTAACTATTCATATTCAATTACGCACCGCGTGTGCAGTACATTATAAAGCGAAACTGGAATATAATCTTTTTTTACATGAAAGGGTAGAATAAATTTTAAAATGCGCATTCGAACTTAAGTTATAAATCGTACGTGATATTTAGCGATGAGCGATATATTAAATGAGAATTTATCGGTACAAGAAAATAAACCGCTCTGTACGTGGAAAATCAAGTGATAAGCCTGTCCTGTAGATAAGGAAAACGCAAACGAATCGGTGTTGCATTAAATGCAGCAGCAGATGGTTATACTTCACAGATGATGTATCATTCAAGATGGCGTACTTGTGCGTGTACACACAAATTAAAATGCATGCAATTCATCAAAGTTACTCGTTAAAAATGTAGATACGTAATTGATAAAGACGATGATATGTTCGCGTTTGAATGTAAGCGATAATTTTATCAACTCAATCTTTAATGTTTTTATGTATATATTATCCTCCCCCCTCCCTATGAATATATTTCCCCTTTTTTGAGAAAATTAATTTTTTAAGTTGTAAAGTAAGAGAACGATAGATATAAGTAATGTCTATATACAGTGCGTTTTATAAATAATATCAATATTTTAAGAGGTAAATCTATATACTAAAATAAATAAGAAACGTTAGGTGAACGTATGACCTACATACTTTAATTTTAAAGTTGAATGATTGAAGAAAATGTTCGAAGTATTTTTCTCGTGCAACATATGCTATTGAATGGATCCGCCTCGCTCTGCTCGGTTTATGAAGGCGTTGTTTAGAAATGTTTTTCTTTCGAGATGAAAATGTGGCAGAGCACCATCGTACATAAATCACAAGTTTTGCTTGATAGCTAGGAGCACCAGAACAGTAACTTGCGAGCGTAAGATACTGACTGCCTGAAATTCTGTCCGATCTGTACTAATAGGTATTGTTTATAAACATCAAAGAACGTGAAACGTGCATGCTAAGCTGTACAATAACATGTGTTAACGCACGAAGTGAATACTTCGACATATATTTTCTTTAATCATTCATAACTTGAAAACTAAGATATATATAGGATATAGGTTCACATTTTTTATTTAATTTAGTGTGTAGATTTGCGTCCTAAAGTATTGATACACTGAGAAAAAAATACAGTTAATTTTAATAAATATTTAGTTCAATACTGCCAACTAAACATTTACTTACAGTAAGTAAATATTTGTTTAATAAAAAAAAAAGATTGTTAAATCAAATTAACATTTCTTGTATCAAATAAATATATCTTTATATTTAATAAATACTTAGTTGGCAGTATTCAACTAAATATTTATTAAAATTGACTATATTTTTTTCAGTGTATACATTTATGAAACACTCTGTAAAACACAATGTCCAAATCGAAATATAAATTTTTTTTATTTTAAATAAAATGTCTTTTTGACATCACACCTATATCGTTATTACAATTTCACAACTTAAAAAATTAATTTTCTCAGAAAAAGGGGAAAACTATTTTTTAACTTGACAGAAAATTATTGATTAATCAAATAATATCGGCAAAAAGAAAAATATTCTTAACAAGATCAAAATGTCATTTTAGTCATTTTCGTGTTATAATTAACACAGGAATAGCCAATTGGGTTGTTTTCACATCTTAACGGCAAACAAATGTAAATTGTAAAATATTGTTTATGGATATTGTTTAATATATTTTTTCTTTTTTAATAATTATTCTTTACGAACTTTTAAATATACAATTCGAAAACCGACAAAAAAACATTGTATTAAAATCTGTATTCTTTTTAAATATTGTAATGAGCTATTTGACGGGTTTATTCTGTTTATTTATTTCATTTCTACTTATTTATTTATTTTTGTCAAAAAGTTGTCATTAAATCCATATTCATAATGTTTTGTGTAAAATATTAATAAATCGAAAAATAATAATAAACAATATATTATTAACGCATTGAATGCGATGGGAATCACCGACTGGTAATCAGTTTGTCGGTGATGTCGTCAGAGGACACCGGTGACCGGCGATATGTCAAGATAATAGAAACACATAATTCGAATAAATGTCAATATTTTTGAATTTTGACACAATATGTATCGCATGATAACAGATTCATGTTGGTGGTCTTGGATAAGTCATGTAATATCAGCGTGATATTTAACGTGTTAATGATAATTGTTTTAATTGTAGTATAAAAACCCCTCAGGTAATCGTTTACGTAAAAAAAGAGAAACCTCTCGGATTTAAAAAATCATTATTTTCTTTTTAGTAATTAAAAAGTCTTCTTTTCTATTTTAATTGTGATTTTGATGATTT